ATGAGCACTTCAGTTCTTGGTAAAAGTCAAAGTAACTTGCAAGCATTACACTGTATACCACAAGTTCTTTTGGAAGTTGCATTCATTGTTAAAGTAATTGATTTCATGAGAGCCGTATAGTAAGCAGCGACATGCAGCTGTCGTGACACACACGTGTCAGTGTTTCAGACAGAAGCTCGTGTGAATGAGTCACTCATGCATGTGCCGCCCAACGTTTGCATAACATGAAAAACCAGATGCAAGCCATAAACATGAATATTCCAGTATCATCATCATCGCTTATTTGTAACATACGCGTTGCAAACAATCTGCACACTTTGAGGCACTGCTAAGTTTCGAGACATGTTCTGAGATGTTAACGCAGATGAGTGTAGAGTTGTTGTCTCTGAATGACTTCATTGTAACTCTCCTGAGTGTCGGCGCTTGTAAGGAGGCGCCTGACGGATCGATTCTCTGTTAAGAGCCTGATACTGTAGCGACAGACTGCGTGCCTTCTGCTTTGTGCAGCCGTTCTAGAAGAGTTTGCACGAGAAGTCGTTCTGGATTGTTTTGCCCTGTTTAGTCAGTTTCAGTTTTAATTACATCAGGTTAAACTAAATTCAAATGAGATTTTGCCTTGGGAACTCGCTGAAATATTTTTAAAATTTTATTTCAATTAATGTTTATATTATTTCTAGTAATGAAAATATTTTTCAGTTGCACTTTCCTATAATAACCATGTTTCGGACACTGTAATGCACCTCTTGTGCCTTAATGCTTTATAATAGTGCTTGACCTTTTTCTTCAGGGTTTTCTGCAGCACTGCGGTGTTTTGTTCTGCTGTGACATGTTTTTATTGCTGATATATCAATGATTGAAATGATTGCTCGTGTAGTTGAAGTTTTCTCCTCGTGTTTGGGAGCGGGCTTTTATCAGCTCTGCTGGGGAAGAAAATAGACCTAGGCTCACGTCCAGAATCGCAGCCCTGATTTATCAGCCGTCACGATGCACTTGATCTGTAGATTGCTCTCCTGCGATAGAAACGAGCTCTCGTTGATGTTTGATTTGCGATGACGTGCAGTGAACGCGTTACATAATCAGCTTCACCCGTGCAATGATAGCTGTCATGGTTTTAACCCTCATAATGCATTCAGAATCTGTATATTTTCATATTCCGCGTCCGGACGCGAAGAATCTTAATATTTAATATTTTTCAGCTAAAACCATAATTGTATCTGATCAGCAACTTCTTATTAATGTGTATGTGAAAAAATCGAAAGGTTTTGAATGTTACTATACTATTACTGCATTTGTATTTGAATATATTGTATGAAATTTATAAGAACATATAATCTGAGAATTATCAGTATTAACCCTATTGGAATGAATGGAGTTTAATTAAATTCCTTTGAATTTATAACTCACAATTGCTCAAAAACAGTCCAAAATTGTGAAACTTAAATATTTATTTCT